GAACATCATTTCTCATTGCTTCACAGAAAAATTGCCAATGATTTACAACATACTTGCAAATGGTTTTGTACAATTGTCATCATTTGGTACAATTTTCAGTTGCTTTAATCTTGTTGGTCAAAGTAGATTACTGTAGTTTTCCACTGTAATATTTTTACCCCCAAAACAATATATGTATGTGAGCACTGTGTTAGCCACGTGCAAAACAGTTAACCAAGCTTTCAAAATGATTTTAAAATCTATCCCATTAATATACCGATACGGCATTGATGTGGTTTTGCTTCACACAGTACTTGGTTTTGTTGCCATTTTGTTATACGGTGTTGTGTGATTTTTGTTTGCTATTGTACTGTGTCTTGACATCTGAAGAAGTTACATGTGCATGCGAGGACCTTCTCTTTCCAGTGAACTTCACCTACTGTAATGTAAAGCCAGTTTGCTTAAGAAAAATGATCAGTCACTGACAATGAGGAAGTGGGAAGCGACTATCATTCAGAATTATAGAGCTCAGGAATATACTTAGACTGACGTGCTGACAATATACACTCACCTAAAGGATTATTAGGAACACCTAACTAATCTAACTATCATAATTCAGCAAATATTCAGCAAAATAGACTTTCTGTAGGCTGATCAATTCCAGCAAAGGATCTTTTGTCTCTGGTGCGTCTGTTTTGAGTTGACAGTTGATAAAAGTCTTGCAAATATCATAGTGATATTATAAAAAAAACCACTAAGGGACTATGATATTTCTGTGGTATGATGTAGAAAGGCTGCGTCAATGGCTGCTGTGTTAGTTTATCCAAGAAGTTTTTTGTCTTGAAGGAAATTACTTACAAAATAATAAATAGATTGTTTTGGAAACTTCATTGTTGGTGTAACAAAGTAGTATGAAGAAACCTTTTCCTTTATTACAAATTATAAGACCTCAAAAAACAATGCTTATTTATTTACTTAATGTAAGTAAATAAACTAACCTTGTTCAGGAGCAGGGGCCATAGGGGCTGCATCTAAACACAATTTAATGCAAAGATTATGAACAGGAGTTGACAAACAAGTTGTCATAAATTACAATAGCACTGACATTTTTGTCTTTAATATAAAACCGTAATTCATT